GAAATGGCATTTAGCAACCACAATCTGGGCCGTTGCGGTGTTCATTGCTACTCGTTTGATCATAGGCCTTTTCAGTGGACAGAGCCAGGGAAACCATTGCCTGAATCTTCTTCAGGCTGCAGAGATCATGTTACTTACTGCTCTGGTGAAGGTCCTCTCCAAGCTAACCATCCTTTTGACCCTGCCTCAGTGTAGCAGTTTTTTATCAGTTGTCCCGTACTCTGATTTGTGAGTATCCCTCTTACCGAGTGGGGCCCACTAGTAGACACAGCACTCCCAGTTTGCACTAACCTGCTCAGAGCAGAACGATTGTATATGGCCTCCCAGCTCTAATAGATGTTTCCTCACTTGAATTCTGGGCCAGTTCTGGCAAAAGGGTGAGGATACTATTTCTTTAATATTCCTGCAGAATCTCTTCTGTACCTACATAAGGTTTAAAGCAAATAGTGTGCCATCTTGCTCTGGATAATAGGAGTAGAGAAGGAAGGAAATTCAGAGCCTAAATTTAAATGTGATGACAGCATTATAATTGGAATAAGCAAATAACATCTTAAATTATAGCTTTCATCCACCTTTGCTAAGATGACTTTGCCCTTGCAGACCTAGCAGGAACCGAAGCCCAGATAGCTGCGGCTGTGATTGTAATAAGATGATTGATGCTTGTAGGTCTGTTCAGGAAGCCCTCAAAGAGTGTAGCACCTTAAATCACCAGGGTCCAAAGTCACATTCCGTACTGCCAGAAATTTCTTATGTTTATATATATATATATCTATATTTTAATATTTTTTCTACATATCCTCATTTCTCCTCCATAAGCAGAGTACTTCCCATCCCTTGATTTCGACCATGTAATTTTAGTAGGCGTGACGTATTTGGTAGATGAAATATCTAATCCCTGAAACCTGTGAATGTTATCTTACATGGTAAAAGGGACATTGCAGATGTGATTAAAGTCTGGGAGTGTGATTATTCTGGTGGGCCCAGTGTAATCACAAGGGTCCTTATAAATTGAGAGGCTTGGTGATCAAAAATCAGAAAAAGTGTGAATTCGGAAACAGAGAAATTGGAAGATGGCTTTGAAGACTGGAAATTGGAAAGGGCCACAAGGCAAGAAAACAGTTCTCTCCTAGAGCCTCTGGAGCGAGCATGGCACTGTCTACACCTTTATCTTGTCCCAGTGAAACCCATTTTGGATTCTGATCTCCAGATAAATTTGTTTTAAGCCTCCAAATTTGCAGTAATTGTTACTCCAGCTAGCTACAGGAAACACAACATGACTAAAGGCTTAAGCACAATTGGGCTCAGTCTTTTGCATCTCTGCCACCAGCTCTTTAGAAGAGGATCAGTTACTTGACCAATTTTACTATTAGTTTTTGTGGTAGGCAGAATGATGGTCCCCCAAAGATGTCCATATTGTAATTCCTGGGACCTGTGAATATGTGCTGTTATATGGCAAGGGGGGACTAAGGTTGCAAATAGAATTACATTTGCTGATCGGCTGACCTTGAAATAGGGAGATTATCCTGGATTGTTTGGGTGGGCTGGATGTAATCACCAGGGCCCTTAAAAGATGGAAAAAGAAGGCAAAAGTCAGTCAAAGTGATGTGACATGAATAAAGCTGTTACTGTCCATTTCTGGCTTTAATGACAGAGGAAGGGGCCATAAACCAAGGAAGGTAGAAATTGGAAAAAGACAAGAAAACAAATTATACCGCCTCCAGAAAGGAAGGCACTTCTGCTGACACCTTGAGACCTAGTGAGACCCATTTTGGACTTCTGGCCTCCAGAAATACAAGATAATAAAGTGATACTTGTTTTAAGCCAGTAACCTTGTGGTGATGTGTATTCAGCAGCAATAAAAAACTAATACTTTTTGTTGTTGTAATCTCACCCAAAGACATTTTTCCATTGCTTTATTTTTTTAAGAGTGGAAGGGAGGAGGAGAGGCAGAGAGAGAAACATTGATGTGAGAGAGACACGTCAATTGGTTGCCTCCCACACATGCCCCGGGGTTGAGCTTGCAACCAGGTATGTGCGCTTGACCAGAATCATATTTCAACCCTTCAGTCTGCAGGCCAATCCTCTCTCCACTGAGCCAAACTGGCTAGAGAAAACTAATGCAATTTGATCGACTGATTCTTTTTCATTGGGTGCCTCAGCATCATCGTAAAACATGAATTCTAATAAATATGTTGAAACAAGGTTCAGATATTTAGTACAGTGGGGGTAAGGGAAATAGCTGGGGCTCTGGCCCTCACTGAGACAAATTTTTCTCGTGGTTACAAATATAGGTATCAATTCCCAAAACCAAATAGAAATTTTGTTAGTCTCTGATGTGCTGGATAACGTACACCCACTCCCAGGGGTAAGCGGTACCTTAAGCTAACCATGTTTGATGGAATGTGGCCCTCCCCTGCCTTCCCCACCACGGGCTCACAAGTATATAGTCTGGGGGTGGGGGGTGTCCGGTCTTTATACAGGGGATTCAGTTCCAACTCCCATTATCACATGACCCAAGATTCCATCATCTGGCATGGGTGTGATGAAACAAGTCCCTAGCAGCTGGTTCCTGCCTCTATCCAATAGCTACCAGGACAAGGGAGACATCAGGCCTTGCTCTGTTCGCCTCTCCGTTTCTGGCTCCTGCTGATTTTCCCTTCTTACAAATTCAGCAATGAATTTACTTTCCTCCTTTATTGGCTTGCTGGCTTGCTTCCTTTCTTGTAATATTTTATCCAGGATTTGGGGGTGTTTGTGTTAGAAAGGGTTCCCTATTAGCAAAGTCTGCCATGTTGCTGAAACCAGAAGTGTTTTCACACTTACATAAAAGGCACATCCTGATGATTTTCCTAAAACACATGGATTGCCCAATGATGAATTAAAATCTGTAGGAACAGAAAGGTGTTACAAATAAGTTTTCTCAGTGTTTCTAATCATCAATATGTATATTTCCATTGATTTTTAGAGAGTGGAAGGGAGGGAGGAAGTGGAGAGAAGAAGAAACATCAATTAGTTGCCTCCTGCTCATGCCCCAACTGGGGCTGCAACCGAGGCATGTGCCCTTGACGGGGAATCAAACCCGTGACCCTTCGGTCCACAGGCTGGTGCTCTGACCACTGAACTAAACCGACCAGGGTTCTAATCATCAGTATTTTAAATGTTGGGGGTCCATTCTTGGTTAGGGGGTTAACTTAGAGAAGACACTAGGGGCCAAAGGGTTGGACTTGTTCACTTGCTCCCTGAGGGCACACTGGACCAGCAGAGCAAATTCTGGCTATAGGAGGCAGACCTTCTCCAAATCACATTAACTTGGGAAGGGCTCTCCATCCCTGAAGATGTTCAAGCAAGCAAGCCCACCAAAGGTATGAAAACCAACGTACTGTTAATGAACAGAAAAATGGTATCTCAGCAGCTCAAATCCATGCTCATTCCAGGGTCCCCCAGCTCATACTGGTCTGTCTGAGTCACTACCTCGAGGATGCATGTTGTTGAGAAGCCATATGTTTGTGTAGCTCCACCACTATTTTTTAATCATCTGAAAACCTAAAATAAACCCTTTGGAATCTAGAACAAGCACAAGTCTGCGTAGAGATGAGAGAAAAATGAGCGGATGGTTGTGTGTATTGATGTGTAAAAAGAAACCTATTGTTATGGCAACCAGCATCCTCAACTGATGCAACCCTGTTCCCAATAATATATGATTAAAAATTGACATTGCAGTGAGGAAGAACACATGCAGTGCATTGGCATAGCAACCAGGATAGTTTAATGCTACATACGTTAAACCTGATGACCACAACAATTTGGGGAATTTTGCCTACAATTGATAAGGAACAATTTCTTCATCTGGACTTGAAGTCAGGAACCTGTAGGTCCATCCTGTGGCCACCACCTTAATAGATTCGATTAAATCATTGGTGTAGGAACGGGGGCTGGGGCTCTAGAATGTACCGAGAAGCCCTGTGTTTTCACCCGCATGCGCACACCATTTAGTCAACATATTTATTGAGCATTCACTCAGCATCCCGCTCTGTGCTGGGGAGTTAGGGATAAAAAAACGAATGTTTCTTTCCTTGCTTCTTGGAGCTCGCAGTTTCTTAACCTCTTACATTACACAAATCCATGTAAATGCCAGAGGAACCAGTAAAGGGGAGAATTGACTAGTTAACTGGTGGATGCGGGAGAGAGAGAGCAGCCAAGGAAATTGAAGCACAGGAGGAGGGTGACTT